TTATTGTTACTGCGTGTATTATATTAGTGTTGTTAGTTGGTTGAAATATTTTTCAGACTACAGAGCTTTTCCCAAAGGCTTCTGGTGCCTATACTTCGTTCTGTTTCCATGCTACGTGATTTATATTACACGAAACCGAAGTTTTTGTGTGCGTGAGCATATGTTACACCTAAGTTGCTTCAAGTATAAGAATTTGTACTCATTTTAAATACAACTCAGAGTCAGATCCATTTGGCTTTAAAGTACTGAGGGAATTTCAGTTGTCTTATTTCAGGTACCTTGCAAGTGATTTTTAATAATTATTCGTAGTATTTAAAATTCTTGTTTAAGTATCATATCAAATTACAAATTGTAATTTATGCAAACTATTTTACATAGTAAAAGTATTAGTTTCAGCTAATCTATGTTGAATATATGTATATATAAAAAAAGATTTATATGTTTTTTCTTTTAAAATAGCGTCAGCTAAAAAGTAAATATGTTAATATCCACCACTTTTTTCAGAGTAATTACCAGTAGATTATAGAGTAATAACCAGTAGATTGTAAAATTAAAATTAAATTGACCTAACCAATAGAATATGAATTCAAAGTATTTGTCCCAGCAAATATTTTTTCATCTATAAGTTACCACCAAAATTTTATTTTAAAAGTTAGACTTCTAGGTCTGCAGCAGCTAAATTTCTTGGTTTTGTAAATCAGCATATAAAAGCATATGCCTTATCCTCCTTAGGAGTAATTGTGCCAAATCTTCTAAGTAGATATACCTGTGGTATAATCTTCAGGCTCATGAATGTAACAGACGTTTAGTTCTTACAGTTAAAAATGACAGTTTATGAAAATGTTTGTAATTACCAGTTCAAAATACCACTCTTTGGGAGCTTTCCTGAAGAGGTATAATTTTACTGCTATTGCCCTAGGACATAGCAAACTTTTAAACCTAATAGAACTTTTCACTTGTCTTGAGTTGCTTTACTTGAACTTGAAAAATACAAGAGCTAAGATAGGAGAACTAAATGTAGGGACAGAAGTCTCTGTTTAACAAAATTACACAGAGGAGGAGGGAGATTACATTCTGCTTCTATTCACTGGGACCTTCTAATTTCACAATCATTTACTTTTGGAAAGAAAATATTATTTTAAAATGTATATGTGCGGTAGCGTTTATTTTAGAAATGTAAATCACATGTGCAGACCACAGGGATCAGGCAAAGGGGAAAATTCACAATTTGAACAGATTGCAAGACCTGTGGATATGAAGTGTTGTCTAGTTTCGTTTTAAGGCCAGAACTTCTTTGGTAGGTCGCTGCCTCTCTGCTGCGGGATGCCCCGATCACTTCGGAGAGGTGTGGAAGAGACAACGAAAAGATCCTTAAAAAGAGGTGCTTTTGCTTAGCGTCCCAACAGCTGACAAGCGCCCTAGACGCGTGTCACCTCCACAAACCCCAGGCTCTTGGGCGAAGCTGGGCAGCCACAGGTTGGCTTTTCCCCCGAAACGCTCTGGGTGCCGCCGGCGGCTCCTGCGCTGCGCAGGGAGCGCCCGGCAGCATCCCCAGGTGCCGCTCCCCCGGGCAGCACAGCCCCGGTCCCGTGCTTCTCCGAGGCTGCAGTTGCGCTAGAAATGAATATTTACATCCCCTGGAAAAGCGCAGCTCGCCGCCACCAAGGGGCCGGACTGAGGCTGGTAGCCGGAGCTCGTTATCCTTCCCGAATGCGAATGAGCCCGTCCCGCGGCTCTTGGCTCAGGTGTGCCCGGCTTTTGTTTCATTAGATTATCAATTGGCTTTGGAAAGGAGACCCAGAGCTTCCCGATAGCGCGGTGCCATATGGAAAATCTGCGCTATTCTGATTATGCTCTATGTAAACATTTTAATATCGGATCCTTAAAATCCAGGGACTATCCCAAAGGGGATTAAAACATAATCCTCTCTCTATATAGCTGTAGTGGATTAATTTCATATTCTCTCAGTGGCTGGCTTGCTCCCTGAAGGCTACAACAAAAAGACTCAGTGCTCCTTAAACATGCTATGGAATTGCAAGTTGTAATTGGAGATTTCCAAAGGACAAGTGTAAAAATGACACACTGTTAATACCGATTTTTTTATTTCATTTTGTGCTTTCAAGAGAAAAAAAAATCTGTAAAGATTTTTTTAAGCTTAGTTTGGCACCCCCTTCCGCAAAATCACGTAATTTGACTGCTGTTTTTATGCTTTCTACCTTTTTTTTTTAAAAAACTGAAAATAAAAACAAACACAAGGAAACGTTTTCTCATCTGGAAAGTACAGTAATGCTCATTCCTTGTTGCATTGTGATACCTCTGACATGTTTACATTGCAACAAATCTAGGGTGTCATTTGAGCAGAATGCAGGGCAGATGCCAAGGTACCAGTCTGGGAGCTTGGAGCCTTTTCTCGGGAGGAAAAAGCCAGAAATCCCCGATTTCCCCTGCATTCAGTAATGGGCTAAGAAGGGACTGTTCCCTTTCCCTCCACATCCGCCCCTGCTTTTGCAGCTCTGCCCCTTCCTCCAGTCCGTGAGGGCACGTCCCTGGCACACCCGGTAGCCGGGGTACACCATTATCTTCTGGATGGCAGATTATAAGGTTTGGCCTTTTGACCATTAAATACCAGTGGCTTTATTTTTATTTTAGCCATACAACACCAGGGAAAAGAGGTAATTGGATTAAATTGATGTTCTTCCTTCTGGGATTCAGCAAAGTCCACAAACGCCTCCTTAAAGTGATAGAATACCGGGTCAGTTCCAGAACACATCTTCCAAAGATGCTTTTCTCGCCGCACAAAGACCCGGGAGCCCATCACCGTGTGGCGGGCCAGGTGGGCCCGGAAAGGTCAAGAAGAGGGGTAGGACGCTTTGCTTGACAGGGCAAGGGCTTCTGCAGGGCAGGGAATCGCTGGCTGCCCAGACCCCCCTTCTGTAAACACAAAGAAAGGGGGCCTGGGGAATAGAAACCCAAATCCACTTGTAATCGTACAAGAGAATCGGGCGTAATTACTTGAGCAACCTAGATGAAGATTGATGAGGCTTTAAAGCGGCGTTTCGGATCGATCATCCTGCCCTTTGGAGCCTGCTGCCGGGCTTCCCCGGCTCGGCTTGGCTCGACTCTGCTCCTTTCCCACCGCCAAGGGAGGGAGAGAAGATGGAGGCGAGACGGGGAGAGCAGCAAAGCAAGCCCGGCGCATGTGATTCCGATCAGCTGACTGGGGTCAAGAGGCTACCCCGGTTTATTAGGAGATGGAAAACAATAAAATGAAAGAAAATAGAGTTTGTATCAATATTATCCCGTCTGCCACGCTGGGCTGCTGAAAGCTGTCACCGAAACTCTGCGTTTAGCTTCCCCCTGTAGGCACAGTAATCCCTGCCTCTCTCTTTATTTATTTTGCAGCGTAAATGACAAAATATTGTGCAATAAGGGCTCAAATTGGGTGTTACAGTAAAGTAAAGCATTAACAACATGACAGTTAGATGCGTCGATACAGGAGTAATTTGGGCTAAGTGAGTAATTTGAAGTGTTGCTTGCAAGAGCTGGTGGTAAAATGTGCGGGCGGTGCTGGGGGAGGAGGAGAGGGCGCATCCGTGGCTTTAGCCCCGGTGTGAGCTGCCGCCCCGGGCTCGGCTCAGCCGCGCCAGCCCCCGCACCGCGCTGCTGGAGGGGCGAGCGGCCGGGGATGGCAGCGGGAGGCACACGGCTCTCTGCCCTCCGAGCAGGGGTTCCCTTATTTTAGGGGAGATATTTTAGCTGCGTAAAACAACCAAACCCCTTTTTAGTATCCCTCGAGATGGTCAGTTTGCCAGTTTTGAAAGGTGCATCAGTCAGATGATGTACCCAGCTTCTCGATACTGGAGCTTTTATTATTTGCATGTCAGATGCGTGTTTGTGCGTGCATGTGGCTCTGTGTATACATGTATGTGTATACAAATTACCCTACACGCTTTTGAGGTTAAATCTGGAAGACTATTCTATATATAATATTTTTTTCGAATTAGAGCAATTGAGCTGTAAAACACGGACACTTTCAGCTTTAACAGCAGACTGCATTCATATTCAAGATGCGATGGTGAAAAAGCAATCCTTTGTTGTTTTTTTGGATTAAAGCAGAAGTTTTTGTTTTGGTTTGTTTGTTTTTTTCCTGAATTAAAACCTAACAATTTGTGTGGACAAGGCTGCCTTTTACAGCAGGTTTTCCCCATCCCATCTTTTCAATGCCCGTGAAAACGTCTCTCATAAGGAATATATTTGAGCGAAATATTGTAACGGTAATTTTAAATGGATAAGCGGCAGGGAGTTGAAACAAAAATGATCTTTCCGTAAATATATTTAGCGATGATAGCCTCCGTGTGCATGGGGTATTGAAGTAGGTGTAAATAAAAATAAATTAATAAAAAAAACAAAAACACCTCCCCCCAAGGAAAAAAAAAAAAAAAAAAAAAACAAAACAAAAAAAAAAACTCAAAACCCCCACGATATTTCGCATTACTTTCGGAGTTGAGGTCTGGACCCAGAGTTAAAAATAATTCTTCTAGCCTTGCAGGGTCGGTGTGGCGGGCAGGGGCTGCAGGCTGCCCTGCCCTGCGTCCCTGACCCGGCCTCGCCGCCGTGGGGACCCTGCGCTGCCAGGTCGAAGCTGCGTGGAACGAGCCCCAACTATCGCACATAAACAGCGATAGTGTTAACGAGGAGCAAAAGGGCATGAAAAGAGAGGGAACCTTCTTCTAAAAGGCAGCTATTTTTAACCCTAACCCCTCTAAATTTCTCTGCTGTGATTTATCTCGCAACCCCGGAGCTCACAAACTCGCTTCTGCCCCGGCCGCAGAGTTCAAAGCGCTGGCCGCGGGCAGGGGGGGAATAAACACGGCGGTTTACAAACAGGGTTTATGAGGGGGCTCGCCGGGCGCTGGCTCGGCAGAGGGAAGGGGAAGGGCCACCAGGGATGGGCCGGCCGGGCGCCTCCAACCTGACGCCGCTGCCCCTTGCTTTTGCAGGCCCCGTGGTCCTCAGCACGCCGGCACAGCTCATCGCCCCCGTGGTGGTGGCCAAGGGGACGCTCTCCATCACCACCACGGAGATCTACTTCGAGGTGGACGAGGATGACTCGGCCTTCAAGAAGATCGACCCCAAGGTGAGTGCGGCGTGCGGGCGGTCGCGGTCCCGGTCCCCGGTCCCGGCACACGTGCGCCGTGGCCGCCCCCTCCTTTCCAAACTCCGCTCCCGTCTGCCGCCTTTCGCTGCATTAAAAAAAAAAAAAAAAAAAAAAAAAAAAAAGGCGCAATGTATTAATGATGTTAAATCCTCTATTACGGCAGCGTGCGGGTTTTCCAGCAGCAGCATTTCGCGCGGTGCCTTTGTATGAACGTGGTCAGATTTAGTAGTTAAGCCAATTGCTCTGAAATCCCTGGAGGGAGCAGCAGTCCCAGCCCGTAGCCTTCCCGACACACAGTGCACACAGTGGAGAGTTTTACCCCTTCCGAGGATATCGGAGAATCCCGTTATTTCAAGAACGTTAGTTTCCATATAAGAAAATACGGCGCATTTTGTAAACATTCTGACTGCTGAAATGGAAGTTAATGCTTATTTTTCTGGGGGGGGGAAGGGGGGGGGTGGAAATAGTGGGGGTGGAAATAGTCATGGACTCGAAGACTTGCTTCCTGGGAAAGCTGTTTCTTTCTGAAGTCATTTACTAGTACCAATGCCCCAGCGCCGCCCCCCTCCCCTTCCCTCCCCTCCGTGAAAACCTGCAGCCCAGCCGCAATAGATCAGGGGTGCGTGACTTGAGCGGAAACCTTTGCGTGGCTTTTTCCCCGCGGGAACGGCGCAGGGGCTGCCACGGGGGGAGGAGGGCAGACAGAAGGGACGTGTCTAACAGGGCGCTCCTCTCGTCTGCATCTCCTTTTATTCTTATCACTCTTGCTTTGTTTGCTATTGCACTGGGAAACGTTGGCAGAGAGGAAATAGGGGGGTACTTTTATAAAGGGTTTGGGTTTTTTTAATGCAGAAATATCATAAATAATTTCCAAAAAAATTGCTCTTCTGAATGTTTGCAATAAGGTGATTTTTCTTTGGCGAATAATTTGTCAAACTCGGGACGTTCTTCTCAGTGCTGGGGTAAAAAGTGTCTGTCAGAATTTCTGGATATAACGATTTCCCTAAAGTGCACCCGCTGGAAATAGTTGCTAATGGATGTTACATAGGCGATCGGCCTCTTTCAGCACTTGTTGACTGTTAGGATCCTAATCAAAATTCGCGTTGTTTTTCTGAGTTTTGATTTAAAAGCCGCTTTAAAGAAATGCATCCTGAGAGAGACCAGGCGGTGCGATACGGACAGGCGGGTTCGGATCGCTTGTAGTTTTGTCGGCACGCACATGTTATTCCCTCTGAATGCCCTGGGAGCGCAGGGACTTGATTTCTGAGAGTGCAACTGGCAATCTTACCACATTCGTAACGGATTTGTAGGTCAGAAGTAATATTGTTGTTCATTTTATTGGTGCCGGCTTTCACCTATAAATTTTATTTTCTTCTTTATTAGTACCTGTACCAAATTGCTAGTTTTATCAGACTCACTGCTTACTTAATACACTGCTTCATGGGCATGGTGTGTGTCCTCAGCTTTGTTTGAACCCGAACAGAAACAAATCAGCACCGCATAGTAAACCCTTCAAAACCAGATTTGTTTCTGACAGCTGAAAAACTGTAATTGCATTTAATAACCACGTTTGTGAATGACAGTTGCTGATGGTCACCTGGAGCTAAATTATAATATGTTTGTATCACGAATATTTCCCTATTCTATGAAACTATTCAAAATGCAAAATCAGGCGCCTGCCCTTAAGTTTTCTCTTTGCAGGATTTAAGCAACTGTCCACGGAAAGGCAAAATCCACTAAACATAGCTGCCTTTGGTTTTTCAAGTAGAAAACTTGACCTGATATTGAAACACTTACCCATATGTATTTTACTTCATTTATTAGCTTGTAATTAAATAAATCAGCAACAGAAATTAAAATCTAAATCACAAAAGGTAATTATCCAGTGTATTTCAAGTGCATTTTCAAATATATAATTCCAATATTCAAGCATTATTATATAAGCAGAATCCAAATTTCTTTTGAATATATTTAAATAACATTTCAAGTATATTTATGGAATGTTAGAAATAGAACAAGCAATATATATGAAACGAAAAATGTAAACTTGTTAAGTTCAGACACTTCAAAAGACAATTAACAAAAGTACTGTGATAAAATCTACCTTTTTAAATGGTATCTTCTCTTTAGCAGAAAACGTCCTTGAAGTATCCAAAATGGCAATTTAACTTCTGTTCACCAAATCACAAAACACCAACATCCACAATTTCAAAGACAATGTGAGATCACAATATTTGATACAAATTAAAAGGTACATTAGGGTTTGTTCAGGTGGCATATCCAAATAGCATTTACTCACAGAGGGTTTACATAAAAATACCGGGGTTTGTTATAATCCGTTGGTACCATTTTTAGGCAGAATGGTCACAATCGTGTTAAATTACGGCCAATTCTCTTTTCCAGGTAACTCTTTCCTTTTTTCTTATTGTTTTTTCCTTCACCCCCTCCCTCCCCCGGGAAACTGCAAAACTGTGAAGAAGAAGAACGATGCTTGCTGTTCTCATTTACTTTCTTTTTTTCTTTGTGAAGAGCCTAAGCTATATTCCTTTTTTAAAAAGAATATTATTTGCATTGTCAGGTGGAAATATTTGACTTTTCGAATAGGCAGCCTAAACTTCAATGGGAAATTAGCAGATTTATCGGTCAGGCTGGTTTTATAGTTACCCTCTAAAGTTTCTCCAAACTTTTCGGGTTGGTTAGTATTTCCCTGGCCAGTCGCCACGTTTGTTTGGCTGCATTTTCCAGGGCCGAGTGAGGTTTGCCCTGAAAGAGGTCTAAGTTGGGCAAGAAGTAGTGGGGGCACCTCCTGCACTGAAGGCAGGAGATGAGCTGCAGTAAAATCCCGTTGAGCCGGTCCCCCAGGCATGACTCGTCCCAGTCCGATTCGCGGGGATGCTTTTCGCATTCGTAGGAAACCAGAGTCTTCATGTGATAATTATTCAGGGGCTGGCCCGGCAGCTCAAGGTGACGGTCCCGTAAGGTTTTGAGGATGGAGAGGCATTTCTTCCTGCAGCCGCCCATCTGCAGTCTGTTCTCGGCTTCTGCGAACTGCAGCACCCAGGCATCGCTCTCGGCCGAGCTCTGCTTGCCGGCCAGAGAGTGGCACTCCTTGGACAAGAGGTTGAAGCCTTCCGCCTTGACCTCCGCCACCCGATTGGGTCCTGGCCAGGGGATGTGGGGAAGCGGCCAGTGGGCAGCACTCCGCGGCCAGATCCCTGTGCACTTGAAAGCCGGAGTGATCTGCACGACGTACCGATCCCTGATCCTCAGCTTCACTTCGCTGGTGTCCGCCACCATCTTTACTACGTCTCTGTAACTGCACTTATCCACGGCTTGAGCCACCAGAGTCTGGAATCTGGACCGGATTTTGCGAGCGGAGAGGTAGCCAGACGCCGTGATGAACTCCACCCAGAGGGACATGCTCCTCTTGCGGCCGTCGCTTAACTTTAACACAGCGCAGCCCGGCAAGGAGCCGTCGTCCACGAAGTTGAAAACCCCCATTTGGTTCAGATACAGCACGACTTCAAACTCCGTGGGGGAGATGACTTCCAGCCCCTCGTAGCGATTGTCCATCTCGTTCAAGGAACTGATGAAACGAGGCTCCTGCACCTCCACCTCCTTCAGCACGTCCGACACCACTTTGCAGACCTCTCGGATCGTTTTGGCGATGGCAGCTTTCCTGGCTTGGCATTTCTCATTGTAGTATTTATTCAAATGATACACCAGCTTGGCCTGGGCCGCGATCATGTTGGGGCAGAGATCCGGATTGTATACCGGAGTCTCGCAATAGGCTGTGGGATCCAATGCGGCTGCTAAGGCTGGAGCCAACTTCAGAGGAGAAACAGGCTGCCGCACTCTGAAATGTAACAAATGTTTTTCAAAATGCGCCGGGGCTGCTGCTCCTCAGATGCTCTCTTCCTGCTTTTTTAGATCAGCCGTCTTGAAGTGTGTGTGGCGGGGAGGGAGGGAGGGGGGAGCGGGCGGGGGACTGGAGGGGGCGATATTTTTCCTTCCCCTTTTTTTAAAGGGTCCGTGAGAGAGAGGAAAGCATCGAGAGCGGCACCTTTCCCAGCAGCAAGAAAAAACAAAAGTTGCACTGAGACACAGCAAGGCTTCCAGTAGTCAAAATAATAAAACCTCTTCGTATTTATTTATGTTTTCCCGTAGTAATCACCGTGTGTATGCAGGGCAGTTAATCAGCTGGTGGAAAAAAAGTGCCGTGTGTGTATGTCAGAAGAAGCTGGCTCTTGGTTTGTATAAGAGCCCAGATGCACTCGTGTGGAAATTATAAAGGCAGGGCCAGGCAGGCGGGCGGCCAATCGCCACTGGGCTCGTCACTGCAGCCTCTTTCAGCTCAAACGCGGCTAATTAATCCCACTCTAGGAGATAGATATGTATACACAGCCACACGCACACACACACGCACACGCAGGCACATATAGGAAGGTAGAAGGTTACTGGCTGAAAAACCACCCCGGTCCTCTGTACGCTCGGAAATCAAGAGAAATCGCTCTCCTTTGGGTGTAACTTGAAGGGTATTAACGTTTCGAAAGGACTTGGCAAAACTGTGCCGCTCCGCACTGAATCCCTGCGTGCCTCCCCATGGCCGCGACGTGAATGCAGGTGTATTAATGGGCATCCATCAACTAGGGAGCTACAGACTGGGCTGGCTCCAGCAGGAGCACAGGCGTAAATTCATTAACTCCCACTTGGCGTCACATCATGCTGTCCTTTTGCTCCTGATAGTTGTCTGTAACTGCAAGCGAGAAGTTGTTGTGTTTGTTTGGGTTTTTTCTTTTTTTTTTTTTTTTTTTCTTTTTTTTTTTTTTCTCTCGTGAACCGGCCAGTGAACAAGGCAGCGGATTCACGGCTAATTTAGTGTTCTTTGGAATAAAATATTACGCAGAAGTCCACGATTTGTATTGTTTTAAAAGATCTTCTGACGGGCTCTAATCGATTTTGAAGTTTAATGCATTTCGGCGTTATCTCTGTCTTGCTTTTTGTATTTGTACCTTATGAAGGGAGAATCAATCGCTAAACGTATCTGTCAGGTCTTTTTCACGTTCCCTCCAGAAATCAAGTAGCAGATACTGACGGTAAATCTCATTTGCCAATTCTTAGCTTCGTTTTTTGTATTCTGTATTGCGCTCTGATATGTTGTGAAGAGTGGATGTTCAACTGCTTTTTGAGACTCAGTATTTATTAATTTCAAACCTGGAGAATTTATCGTATAGCGAGCTCTTCTAGCAAGCTGCGCTTAGTAAATGTGCACACGGGAGGCACGCTAGAGACTGCAAACATGCTGGCTTGCTTGTCTGACAGTTTGGGGTTTCGCCTATGTGATGTGTAATTAGCAAATTTCCCCTTCGGTACTTTAGGTGTTTGTAATCGGGACCTTTATTTGCAAATAAATTGGAGTTGTAAACTCCTCTGCTTCACAGCATTTACTGAGCTTCACTTCAAGAGAACCCTAAATTTTATATATATATTTAAGAAAACAAAGCAAAACAGTAAAGCTTTTGATCGCTTGGAATCTTTAATCTACTGACCGATTACCAATTCCTAAAGTAACTGTCACAGGTACATCCGTCGCTGAGGAAAAGTCATGCCACAAAGAACATTTCATGATATTTATTCAGCATATGAATGCGACCAACTTTATTGCACATAGCGGAGAAGTTGTGATTGTGAGCTTGGCTCCCTCGGTCTGGCGGTTGTGTGGGTGTTCCCGTGCCGCTCCAGAGGAGGAAGCTGACCGGAATCTTTTCCTGCCCATGAGTAGAGCAGGGCTGGGGCTGTCGATGAAAAGCTGCAGGTGACAGGTCGTCCCGAAGAAGCTCTTCCTCTTCCCGGCCGCAGCCCCTAAGCCGCCGGGAGAAGGGCGACCGCTCTCTGGCTGTTTCGGGTGGAGAGGAGGTAGTTTCGACCCGAGTTTTCTCCCTTCTACGTATAGTTTCCCGTCCAGGCGCCGGGCGGGACACGCGTGCCTCCCCGGCCGCGGCGGGTCGGCAGTGGAAGCGGGCCCCGGCCGGTCCCGGTTGCTCCGGAGCGGCCGCCGCGGAGCGCGGCTGCCGCCGCACCCGAGGTCCAGACTGCAGCTCCCTCCTTCTCTCCTCCTCCCTGCGGGGCGTGAGTGGCCGCCGGGCTGTGGACTCCCGGGGCCGGCTGCCCTCGCCTTCCCGGAGCAGGCACTTAGAGAGGTCTGGGCCGGCTCCGCGGGGACAGGCGGGCCCTCCCCACCGCTCTTACCGGCGGCTGCCCCCGGCTGCTCGGGAACCTGCCGCGGCGGGGCGGAGGTCTGCCCTCTTCCTCCTTCCGCTGGCTCGGCAGCACCGCCGCGGGCCCCGTCGGCGGGCGGGCAGGGGAGGCACCTCGCCAGCCCGGCACATCCGCCGCCGCTGCCCCGAGGAATGGGGCCCGGCACGAACCCCAGCCCGCCCCCCGGGGGCGCGGGGGCGATGCCGGTCGCGCCCTGCCCCGAGACACGGGCGGCGTTGGCAGCAGCGGGGCGCGGCCCGCCTGTGCGGGGGAAGGAAAAGCGGTCAAGTTGGGACCAACTCCGGCGGGCGGGTTTCGGGGACCGACTGGTGCGAGGGAAGGCCCGCTGCGGCCCCGTTCCTGGCCCCAGTTCCCGCCCTGGGCGGCGGCCGCTGGGACCCAGAACCCTCCGGCTCGAAACCTCCTGCGCTGCCGTGTCGGGGGAGGCTTCTTTGGGATGTAAATGTTAAGGAGCCCCTTTCCCGCAGGGTCACAGACCAACGCCGGGTAAAACCGAAAGTTACAGCGGGCGGACAAAAGGTTGTCCCTCGCCGAGAGAACAGCCCTTTCCTGTGGAGGGAGCACGCCTCAACTTCCCAGCGTTGCGGCCGCCTCAGAGCTGCACTTTAGCGACGGGAATGTTCTGGGCCAGGTTTTTCTTATTTTTGCCCCGTGGGTTTTAGTTTGGTAATTTCAGTTGCTAAAGGCAAAAGTGGAAAGGTCGTACCTTTAAGCTGTCAGAAGTCGTAATATTCATAATGCGGCAAAATTAATTTAAATAGAAATTACATTTTATATCCTGAATCACAGCTTTCAATGTGTGATGCTAAGATTAAACTCTGATGTCAAGTAACACAGGTTATACATGTTTATTGTATCTTGGTGGCTGTGGGAAATATTAGCTTTAGCCATGGCTAAAGATCTTTAGCACTGAAGGTCACCCTTCACTACAGCATTTCATTTCACACATACACAACAAACATTTGATAGTTTGAAAATTTGTGGATTTAGGCGTCGCTGACACCAGTCAACCACTGAAATGTGACTGTTAAGTTGACCCGGTCGTTTAACAAGAGAAGTCGTCAGTGGCTTGATTGAAATGATGGTGAAAATTGTTATCTGTATTATACATATGATATAAAAAATTGGGTATTTTTCAAAGCTTCTGACCACTTACTGCAGTTAATTTTTCTCTGTAGTTATTCACGTGTTCTTTGTAAACTATAAAAGGAACACCTTTTCGGCACTGAATTTTATTTTTTTTGAGTTTGTTGAATAACGTGTTGTTTTGGAAAATTGGGATTAAAATCATCTCATTAAAGTGATGATTGATCATTTGTCATGATAATGGTACCATATGATATTGGTGACTTACCAAATTGCTGTTTTCTGGATATTTCCCCTAATTAGTGGGTACTATAACAGTATTTGTTGAACTCTGCTTATTATTTCAAATCTTTCAAACTACGGTACCTTCTCGTGTAGTGCTCACGTTAGCCAAAAAGCCAAATGGTATTGAAAATCTTTGGCTACGGGTACTCGCCCACATCCCCAAAATGCAATTTGGAAGAAGAAAAAAAAAAAAGAAAAAAAAGAAAGTTGCCATACATATAAATTTAACTAATAATTTCATATGGTGAAAAGTGTGAGTTAAAATGCAGATACAAGGGGCTTGTGTGGATATCACTTTATATTTCTTATTATATAGTGATAGTACTTCCACACACAACTGCTCATGAATTTTAAAGTTTTATTTTTAATATCTGCCTATTGCACTAGGGAGGTAGGAAGAAAAAGAATGAAGCTGAGTTGATTAAATTATTTATCCCTACTGCTGAAGTGAGTTTGAAGGCTCATTGAATGTATCTGATTTCTTGGCTCCTCTTTCTTCCCTTCCCCCCTCAGTTCTTCCTGGTTATTTCATCCATATCATCCTGCCAGCAACAATAAATTCACTTTTTTTTTTTTCAAGTAAGAAGAGACAGATATTTGTGCCAGGTTTGCTATATGTGTCACATTATATAAAATAGGCAGCATAATTTTTTTGTGATAGAAGTTGATGGTACCTGCAATTTTCTGTATTCTTATTTTGTAGTTTACTTTTTGCCTCCATTTTCACATTTAGGAACAAATGAAAAGCTAAGTTGCTATAATGTTCGCAAAAGTGCAATTTTAATGAATTTATACACTTCATTACTTAGATTTGTGGGTATAAATTTCTGTACAGTGTGGTACACAAACATTTTTTTTCTGTTACGTACTGTTTTCTGCAATTTTTTTTTTAAACTGTGACATAGCTTCTTTTAGAGTACTTAATTAACATTCATTAGTGTTAAACTTAACATGTGTATGTATTCTCTTCCTATTAAAACTTAAAAGAAAAACATGAAAAGAGTTTGCATTACTGTTGGACTTGGTCATCGCAGGTCTTACGGATAAACTGTTAATGCTTTAAATTCCTCTAATCTGCAATCTGTTAACAGAAAAACAGTAATTGATTTGTTTTCTTTAAAATCATGTGTCTCAAAAGTAAACATGGAACTTGCACAACTGTAATTTTAGCTAGAACTGCAGAAACGTGCAAGAAGGAAAAAAATGCATTGAATTATTCATTTGGTTCACTTCTCCATCGACTTCTCCAAAGCCAGACATTCCATAAAGTACAACATTTTATTTAAGCAGTCCAGCATTGGTGTTTGTTTTTTTTTTTTAAAGATCTCTAGCTTGAGAATGTTCTTTTTTGCTGAACTGCTGAAGGAGTGTGGAATGAGTGGGGATTAGTGCCTTTTAATCTGCTACATCTGTAGTGGGTCATCCAACACTGCCGAACTCTCATTACTCTCTCATGCTATATATGATTAAATGACTGCAAATATTGAACACTGACCTTGAAAATAAAGCTTTATGTGTTGGATGAGCAGCTTCCAAAGGCTTCACATCTAAACTAACCTTTCCCCTTGGTATCTTCTAGTCCTGCAATATGTTGTCTGAGAGAGGACTAGAGTGTTAGAAAAAGTGAGTCAAAATTGAAGTGTGGGAACATTTGAAGTGCATCATTATATAAACTATG